GGAGGGGCCTACAATAGTTACAAACAAGATAATCAGTAGTCACTATTTTTTAGTTAAGTTTATGATTAAAATTTATATATATTTGCCTTGTTTCTCAATTTGTTCAGCTACTTCATGAGTGGTAGAATCATCAGATCGTTCATGTACTCCCTGTGATGCAGGAGTGATGGAATCCATATTCGCTTGTTGCACTTGTTCATGTACTCCTTGTGTTGCTGAAGAGGTGCAATTCTGTGGCACTTGCTGCACTTGTTCTTTTAATTGAGATCCACCTTCGGATTGTCGTTCTTCATTTGCATTTGACCTTAGAGCTTTCAAGGTTGTTTTTGTTGTCAACAACGAAACCTTTTGGTTTCGCAAAGATGAAGGTAATCCACCTTCTGATTGTCGTTCTTCATTTGCATTTGACCTTGTAGCTTGGAAGGTTCTTTTTGTTGTCAATGACGAAACCCTTTGATTTCGCAAAGATGCAAGTGATCCAGCTGGAATGCGGTTGGATATTTTCTTATTTTTGCTTGAGCACCCTTCTTGATTCATGACTATTCAAATATTTTTCAGATTCTGAAAAGCAAACACAATATAGGTTAGCCTTTAAACAAGAAAGACACATCAAGTCATTCAAGAAAAGAAACATCAAGTCAATGACTATCTTTGGGCTAATTCTTAACATAATGCTGCTGCTGGCTATACAAACTGAATTTTTGGTGAACCGTGCAGGAACTTATCTGAAACTGCAGAACCTCAAATTATAAGGATTTCAATCAAAATCTACCTAGAATTAAGCTCTAAAGTGAACAGAAACTGGTAGCAATCAGCAGCTTCCTCAAACTGGTGTAAAACTTTAGTTTCCATTCACCTCAAGACCAGTCCAATCTCAAGAATCTTACCTCAAAACTCAGAAGCAAACAACAGATGTTAACCAAACTTCAAAACTCTCAATAGCTATGAACCAGTTCTACCAAACCAGTAAAGAACACATAGAAAAGTACAAGCAGTTAAGAAGTACAACAAAGAATAGGAGAATTTCAGCTATCAATTTACTCAACTTTACCACAAACAGTGACAAACTTCAACTGCTCATTGTACAGAATTTAGAATTCTTAGTGCACAGAGAACTGATGTTTAATGCAGAAATTTGCTGTCAAATACTGTCCCAAATTGAGTTCTTTCTCTGCAGAAATTTGCAGCTAACTGATGCAAATTCTAGCTCTGCAGGAATTCTGGACTGAAATGGCACAACTATAGCAGCAAAATATTAAAGACTAAACAGTTTTCTTCCATTCAGCAATATAGAAATACGGTGCTATGCCAATACCAACTGAAATATGGTGCTTTGTCAAGAACAGTTATTTACCAGGACGGAGATGATCAGGGCCGGCGTTAATAAGATTCATAAGGCCAGCCCGGCCGTAAAACTTAGCTAGGAAAACAGTAGCGTTGGATTGAGACTCAGGAGTCTTGATCCATTGAAGATATGGCCGTATACTACAACTTTCGCTGCAGCCTTTTCGAAGAACTCTACAACCATTGCAACTCATCCGCATTTTTTAGTAATTTTTGACAAGAGAAGTATATAGTATAAGAGAGAAGGGAGGATTTTTATGAGTTAAAGATGAGAAGATGCATGAGACTTATATATGAACCCCTTTGGTTTTATATATGAACCCCTGGAATAGGGAGCTGCACCACCACCTTATTGTATATAAAAAATAAAGGTTCATACTATATGATTTTAAAATAACACAACTGCAAAGCCGTAACACACTCTCGTTCCAACTACGTGCTTTTCACACCTCAATCACTATAGTCGACCTGACTATTTACTTGGTGTTATTAACTAGGTCCAAAGGATTCAATCTTGTTCTACAAATGGTCCAAAAAAGTCAGTTGACTTTTACTTATGAACAGTAAAACAGTAAGCTTGAAATGGCAAATGGTGCTATGCCAATACACTTCAACTAACACAAATTTCAGTCCACAAAGCAATAACACCCTCAAGTCGATTCAAACTCAACCAATCCCAGAAATCAAAGATGAATTTCTGATTGAGTTTGTGGCTTTGAGCTTCTAAAGTGCTCAAATAGAACAAAACAGACAAGAATCCACTTAAATTGAGTGTGAAAGTGATATACACATACAGTCATACATACCAAATCAGAATCATATCACACAAATAAAACCCTCATTGTTTCAACTGAACCCTCCAACCAAAATTCTAAGCCCTTATCATCCAACGGAGGAAAGAACACAAGTAACCTAAATGATAGGGAGCAGATAAATGGATGTCAGTTGAATAAATAATGTGAATGAACTAAGCCATTCCGCGTGAGAGTGACGGCCAAATATCATTTATATTAGCTATAATATTGCTATAATTTCATGGAGGATAGAAATTACCAACTAAATCAAAGAGGACGTGGGAGAAGGGACGGGCCTCAACAACTGAACAAAAGTATCCGAAATTTCTCTCAAATCCTGCAAAATTGAAGCATGTCAGAATAATTTTCTAAATGATATAAATAAAAATAATCCTAAAATATTTATAAACAAAAAAACCATTATCACTCACTCAAAAAAGAATTAACTTAAAAGAATTTCATAATTTTGTTATTTAATCATCTGCTTCCATCCAGTCCCAGTCGGTACCATCAAACCCATCCTCCTCCTCCGATGTTTCCCCAATTGTATCATGTGAATTTTGTGCATGAGATGGAATATCAATGATATCAATGGGTACATCTTCTCTTGACCATCTAACGTCATCATCAAGCAATATAGATGAGGAACCAATGTCATTATTAGGTTCCCGCCAAAATGTGTCTCCAATATTGGGACAATTTTCTTCCTCCAGATCATACAAATCAACAGGTACTTTACTCCTTGCATAATAAACATCTTTCTCAATTGGATCCTCCACATAAAAAACTTGATAAACTTGTGATGCCAACACAAAAGGGTCATCTGTACTACATAATCTATTGAAGTACACCCGAGTTAACCCATAATCATCTATTTCATTACGAAACCAATCACATCTAAACAGTACAACACTAAAAGAACCCCAATAATCAATCTCAATGATATCCTTAATCGCTCCATAATAGATAACCTCGCCATCGATGGGATTTTGGTCCCTAGCACTAGCAAAACTATCTGATGTTGCCGATAAAGTCACTCCACTATTTTGAGTCTTCCCTCGGGAATCCCGTTCTTTAGTATGAAATTGGTATCCATTAATAAAATATCCCGTATATCTTTTGGCTACTATATTAGGTCCGTTGGCTAGCCATCTTAAATAATCTGGCAATACAATATTTTTAACTTTTTCTTTAAACCAATTGCTGAATTCCCGACTATGATCCCTCGCTCTTACCCATGCATTTGATCTACTATGATTAACAATTAAATTCTTATGTTCCCTGCAATCAAGAACATTTCAAGTTTAATCATATAATAAAGAAAAAATTATATAAAAATATAAATATTAATATAATTTATCTTACTCGATAAACTTTTCCATTTGTTCATCTCCAGTATTGAACAGAGCATATCGATGTGCTTCAAAGCATAACTGCGAATCCATGAGAAAAGTATTTTTTTTCTTACTTCCAATTGGATGGCCTATATTAGGGAATATAGGTGACAAATTTTGAGAGCACTCATCATCCACAGTTTGGTACCTACTAAATTTTGTCTTCACGCCATCATGTAGATATCTCGAACAAAAAGTCAAGCACTCATCGGCCAAAAACCCCTCTGCTATTGACGCTTCTGGACTAGATCGATTACGTACAAAGGCCTTGTACTTACATAGGTTCCTCTCAATGGGATACATCCAACGAAGATGAGCCGGACCCCCAAGCTTAATTTCATTCACCAAATGAATAGGCAAATGTGGCATTATGTCAAAAAATGTTGGATGGAAAATCTTTTCAAGCTCACATGTTATTTCAACAATTTCAGACTGCATTGTTTCAAGATTTTTTCGCCTTATGACCTTGCTACATATAGCTCTAAAGAAATTTCCCAACCTAATCAAGGCCAATGAAACATTCTTGGGCAACACTTTTCTAACAGCAACCTGGAGCAAGTAATGCATTATAAAATGGGCGTCATGACTCTTGTACCCTGATATTTTCATCTCCTTCACTTGCACGCGTTCTGAAATATTCGAAGCACACCCTTTTGGTAATTTAGCATTTTTCATGACAGTACAAAACAAACTTTTCTGTTTTGGTTCCATGTAGAAACAAGATTTAGCCAAACTTATAGTTCCATCATTATTTATTCTTGGTTGCAGCTCCTTTCGTATCCCCATTTCTTGTAAGTCATAGCGAGATTTTTCATGATCCTTTGATTTTCCATCTATTTCTAATAAAGTCCCAAGCAAACTATCACATATGTTTTTCTCGATGTGCATCACATCAAGATTGTGCCTCAATTTGTTATGCACCCAATATGGCAATTCGAAAAAAATGGATCTCTTTTTCCACGGACCCTTATCACTCCGAGGCCTTTTTTTAGCTCTCTTTCCAAAGATATTGTTGAATTCAAGCAGCTCTTCAAACACTTCTTCACCCGACAATGGAGCAGGTGCAGGTCTATGCTCCTCCTTACCATCAAAAGACTTCTTATCTCGTCGGAATGGATGATCACGAGGCAAAAATCTTCGATGGCCCAAGTAACACATCTTATGACTATGTTTGAGATATTGAGAACATGTGTCATAATTGCAAGTGGGGCATGCCAATCTCCCCTTAGTGCTCCATCCTGAAAGCATTGCTAATGCTGGAAAGTCACTAACTGTCCACATTAAGGCAGCACGCATTCGGAAAGTTTGGTTGGTTTCAGCATCAAATGTGTCTATCCCAGTTTCCCATAGTTCCTTCAATTCTTCAATTAATGGTCGTAGGTACACATCTATATCATTTCCTGGAGATGATGGACCTGGAATGATCATAGACAACATTATATACTCTGGCTTCATGCAAATCCACGGTGATAAATTATAGTTCATTAACATAACAGGCCACGTGCTATGAGAAATGCTCATCGTCCGAAACGGGTTGAAACCATCACTTGAAAGACCCAATCTAACATTCCTAGCATCTCTAGAGAAGTCTGGGTGCAAAGAATCAAAAGCCTTCCAAGCTTCCCCATCAGCAGGATGTCTTATGTTCCCATCATTGGGTCGTTCATTAGCATGCCATCTCATTGCAGCAGCCGTTTCAGGACACATGAATATCCTCTGAAGCCTAGGCTTTAAAGGAAAGTACCTTAAAACCTTTGCAGGGATTTTAGAGCTTGCTTTAGTCAAAGGACCACCACTCTTCCATCTTGAAGACCCACAAATAGAGCAATTCTCGGCATTCGCATTTTCTTTCCAAAATAACATGCAATCATTAGGGCATGCATGTATTTTTTCGTAATGAAGACCCAAATCTGTTATCATGTTTCTAGCCTTGTTGAAAGATTCTGGTACCTGAGCAAAGGGAAATGCCTCTTTTATCAACTCTAACAAATCGGAGAAAGCCATATTGCTCAACCCATGCAAGGATTTAAGCAAGTACAGTCGAATAGTGAAACTCAGCTTGCTGAAATTTTCACACCCCGGATATAACTCTTGTTTTCCTTCCTCCAACAATTTGAAAAACTTCTTTGCATCTTCAGATAGTCTTTCCCCAACTCCTTCTTCATCCCCTGCCTGAACCTCTATATTTCTAAATGTATCATGAAGTAGTCCATCAATATCGTCACACATGGTAGAACCTTCATCATCATTGCTTGGATGAGGTGTATTTCTCGAGGAAAATCCTTCCCTGTGGAAAACCCATTTGGTATAACCATCAACAAATCCATGAACAACCAAATGATCCTCCACCACATTTCTATAATACCAATAGAGATTCATGCACTTTTTGCAAGGGCATAATATTTCATTTCCTTGGGCGGCTCGCTCAAATGCCTTATCAAGAAAATCATTCACTCCACGGATATACTCATCCGTCCATCTCAGGAGATTCATCCAACTTTTATCACCATTATCCATAGATATCCTATATGATAAAACAGAGGAATTAGTAGTAATAAAGAACTAGCTAACAACAACAACGACAAACCTCGTAAAATTCTACAAGTGGGATTCTGGGGAGGGTAGTGTGTTCGTAGACCTTATAACCCCGACCTGAGTTCTGGGGAGGGTAGTGTGTTTGTATACCTTATAACCCCTACCTTTCAGATTTTGGATGAACACCTAAGCCCAAAAATTTTAGATTTTGTCATGGCGAGGATATTCGGAGGAAATCAAGATCAGGCCAACACTATAAGAGTTGTTGCCACATAGTAAGTTTGGATTGCTTCCATAATTATGTCATGGATGAAATGACTTGATTAGTTATTGGGTCTCTTTTTTTATATGTTATGCAGTGGTTACATGTCCCCTGAATATGCAATGCATGGAAGATTCTCAGAAAAATCAGATGTCTACAGCTTTGGAGTGTTGATATTGGAAATTGTCAGTGGAAGGAAGAATTCCAGTTTTTACGACGATGAAGATGAACTAACTCTATTTGCATGTGTAAGTTCAGTCTTGCATACTCATGAAGCTTTAATGTCTTTGATTACTTAGAAAAAATGATAAAGAAAGAGAAAAAATGCGAAACTTCTGAACACAATATTTTCACTGTTTGTCAATGTCTTTGCTCTTCAGGCATGGTAGTTGTGGAATGAAAACAATATAGTAAAATTAGTAGACCCCAAAATATTTGATCCAAGTTTTGAAAAAGAGGTTGTGAGATGTGTACATATTGGATTATTATGTGTTCAAGAATATGCAGAAGATAGGCCAAATGTCTCCACGGTTCTATCAATGCTGACTAGTGACAGTGCTGAACTACCTACTCCTAAGCAACCTGCATTTACCGGAGGACATGGTTCTTCAGAGCAAGGATCTTCTAATAGCCAAGGTTCTGTGAATACTGATTCCATAACTGTAGTGGAACCACGATAGGCTGTAAAGTTTTCAACAGGCAGGCAAAGATCATTTCTTTCCTTAAATTTGTAACTGTAGCTATTTCTTTTCTGATGCCTTCCCAAAAACTGTAATATTTAATCGTTGTGAAAAAAAATCTAATTTTACAACTATGATCAACATTATGTCATGGAGTTATCTTTCTAACAGAAGGTATTTCTTATGAGTACGATCAAATCTTGAAGTCTAAGGCCAAAAGTTCTTTGGTTTAATTTCCATCCAATTCCTAGCAACAAAAAAGGGGATGAGCAGCAACATTATTACTGTTTAATTGCAGAATGGTTCCTTCCTATAGCCAAATGTTATACTATACGCAACAAGATAAAGAAGACAGCAAAAACGAAAATACTACACTTATGCATGTAATGAACTAAAAACAGGAACAAGAATCACTTTCAACAAATTCTCAAAATATCCAAAATAGTATTTTTAAAAAACTTGATTTACTATAAATTTTTAAACAAGATTCTTACATTGAATCTTTAGCCTTGCATTATAAAACTCGTTGGAAAGAAACTAGACTAAGGAAAAAATCACAGATTGATGAAATCCCATTAACAGTTTATCTACATGTAGGAATTAACAACTTCTAATAATGGCAGTTAAATACTTCAAAATTTTCACGTACTGATGCACGGAACAGTGATGAATGACCAATCCTTTTACCTCTGTTTTTCTTATCTAATTTATAGAAAATTGCAGAGATCATGTGGTGTTATTCTTAATAAATTTGGAAAATTTTAGTAATGTGTAATTCTTGAAAACAGCGGGGATCAAGATTCAGTTGTTCCATTGACTGGAAGCCGCACTGTTGTACATCAACTAGCAAAATAGATGGGGCTTAACACAACTGTACCCTATAGAGTTTGGTTTGCAGGGCAGCAGGTAAAGTTTAGTTTGATCTATTCTGTAAAATGACAATTTTCTTACATAAAAAAATTCATTTTGTTCTCTATTTTACCCATTTTAGGTTGGTGGATGGACTGTTGTATAAGGAAACAAATACAGGATTTCGATGCACGAATCTGACGCCTCCCAAGTCTATTTATAAGGAAACAAATACAGGAAAATAGTAACTGGTCGTCATTTGGTGCCAAAAAATCAATTAACATAGGACAAGATGATGTATTGCCAGCACTATTCCCACATCTTATACTCAGAACAAGAACCTATTATGAGCATATCTTGAATCTGGGATGACACTTAAAAATTGGCACTAAACAAGATCACAAACAATTACCATTATACAGATAAAGCTAATTCAGTAGCAAAAAAAGCAGAAACTTCAGATGGGTTAAGGGTGGAGGGGACGACCATTATCAGCACAATATTCCCCCAGAAAAAAGATCACAGAACAACAAAGATTGTGTATTTCCAATCAATAACAGTACATCGCTCAAATACCCCAAAAATAAAATTAAAATCAATTAATCCACCAGTAAAGGAACTTACGATGATATCTATTCCACAGCTACCCAGCGACAAATTCTTCTTCAATGAGGAATGAAATAGGCGAATTAGGGCTCAACTGTTGCGAAATTACAAAATCAGTAAAAGAAGAGCATGCGAAATAAATCAGAAATTTATGAGAATCGAGCAAAAACCTTGAATTAGGGATCTGTGGAACTTGACATGTTAGCCGAGCTTAATCGAGAAAAAACCTAAACTTATTGGATGGTTCGAATTGTTTGAAGGAGCTGGTTGTTTATGGTGCGAATTAGGGCACGGTTGAAAATTGTTTGCTGAGATTTGGTGCATTTAATGGAGGTTGGCAGAGGGACTGTAACCGGCGTGGGACTGTCACTGACGTAGGTGTCACCGGCGGTGGCGAGGTTTGGCAGAGAGCTTGGGTTTGTACTGGCCAGGCGTGAGCTTTGAGAGAGACGCTTATATTTTATGTTCTATTTTTAATTAATTATAACTAATTTGAGAGAGACGCTTATACTTTTAATTACATAAAAATATAGATAAAAAAAAGTAGAATGTAAATAATTTGGGGGTTTGGCGGGTTTCACAAAAATTTTGGGGGGAAATAATTAAGAGGGATTAATAACCGTTCCCATTGATTTTTTTCCCAGATCCGTTGCAATAGATTCGTCTATAGGAACGGTTACAAGAAACGTTGCAAAAAAAAAAAGCTATGGGAACGGTTTCTACACAAGGGCAACGGTTTTATGACTGAAGTGTGCCGAATGTACCTATAACTTATTGGAACGGTTAAAACCGTTTCCATAAGAGCTCTATAGCAACAGTTTATGAACCGTTGCAAAAAATTTCGTTCCCATAGGCCCATTTTCTGGTAGTGTCCCTTTGTAAAAGAGGGAAATTCAAAATTTTTATTTTTCCATCAAGTTCCTATTCATTCTATTTTAAGCTCTAACAAGCTTAAACCCAACAGGTAGTGCTAATACCTGTAGCATTAGTACATATTCTCGTATTGATTTATTTTTTGATTTTTATTATTACTTTCATTAAATGATTTTTATTTGTCCACTATACTAAGAATATATTTTTCACTTTTACCTGTCCACTATACTAAATTAAGAGAAAGACAATTTTTTTCTTCTTTCTGTTTTACCCTTATTATTAACTACTCATTCCCGAAATCATTTCCAAGACTTTCAAAAAGTCTACATTATTATAGGTAAAATTGTAAAATAAATACTTTATTTATTTTTTCTTAAAGGGAGTGTAAAATCAAAAGTGAAAAACTAAAAGTGAACAGAGAGAGTACTATTTTTTTTTGCTTCGGCAATCGTATTATCCAACTGTTATAAATGCTTCTTTTTATGGCTTCTGCACTACCGTATTTCTTTTTCGTTACTGTTGTGCTTATGCTTTTCTCGGGCCGAGGATTTACTGGAAACAATTTCTCTATCTTAACAAGGCAGGAATAAAATCTGTATACTATCCTCCTTAGACCCCAGTATGTAAATTATTATCACAATTACAAAAGCAAGAGAGATGAAAAGAGATTACGCTTTCCTTTTTCTTTTCTTTTCGTTTCTTTCGTGGGTATACAGGACTTCAAAGGGGTATCAAATCTTTAATTTGGTGAACCAAATTCCTCTATTTATTTTGAGTTTAAGTGATAGTTTAAAAGATTTTTGACACTAAACTTAAAGTTTTATTTTTAATCCAACTTTTGAGGCTAATTAGTTAGACTCGATATTTTATTTTTTAGTTAATATCAGACCAATTCCATTTTTTGCTTTAGCCAATGTTAGGTGCCACATTAAAGCGTATACACGTACCAAATATTCAGTCTTTGACGTGTTTGGGGTTCAAGTAAAGTGCCCCACATTATTTGAGGGAATAAATTATACTTTCTTATATAATTTTGAGCAATTCATATTTAATAACTAGGTTTTGAGATTGAATTAGGTATAAGGTCTTTTTTCTTTAAACATTTACTAATATGCGGATCTTTTTATCTACTTAAGAAATCAAGGTGCGAAAAGATCAACAACGGTAGCCTCACTCGCCACCTTTTTTATTTTTAATTACTTAAACTTAAACTGAACAAAAGATAATAATAATAAACCCAAAAGCATAAGTAACCAACAGAAATTGAAATACCTAATACTTGAATTCAAACTGATTAAACTTCAGCAAAGACGAATGATTAGATATTTAGATGAGGAGTATTATTTATAATTATATTGCTTATATTTTAAAACACACACATAATATAAGCAAGATCCTGGCCTTTTTCTTTACAAAAAATGAGCTGAAGTGGGATTTTCAAAGAAGTTGAAGAAAGAATTCCACGAATAAGGTGGAAAGGTACAAAGCAAGACCATTGGTTGCCGAGGGATACAAGTAAAAGGCCGGTATTGATTATGATGAGGTTTTTGCACCGATTGCTCATTTGGAAATAATTTATTTTATTATTTCTTTGGCGGCTCAAAATTAATGAAAAATTCATCAAATGAATGTGAACTCGAATTTCTTGAATGGTGTTTTGGAGGAAGAGGTTTAAGAACAGTTTCGCGGTAATTATCCCTCCTCCATCTAAT